CAAAAGTTTTAGAATCTCGGTATTTATATTTGTGTCCTTTCAAAAAAAAAAAAAATTGAACGCTAAAAATATTCTTTAAATTTTATAATCTATCAATTAATCTTAATTTTTTGAAAATTACTATGTTTATTTTTTATTAATACACATAAAGAAAAAATAATTAATTCATCATTAGATATATAATTTATAATCCTAATATACTATCAGTTGGTTTAGACATTTATTATATGAATCATAAAATATTTTTATTTCATGAATTAAATATATTTAAATAAAATAAGAAAATTTCTTTGGATCAATCGGGTGATAGAATTATGATAATGTCCATGTTGATTGAATTACTTTTAGGTGATATTTAAAATAGTAAAAAAACTTGACACAACTTGGATGGTCCAGGTGACTAAGTTATGTATCAGTTTGACCATACCAAATCGATAATTGAACTTAAATATGAATTTTAATATTGAATACTTTATTACGTGAATGTGATATAGTCCAATTGTCCAAACTTCAAATAATCATATTAACAATAATTTTATGACAACATGTTTAATGATTAATATTTATACGATCAAGTTATTTTATTAAATCATTTTTGGTTTAATCAGATTCTAATTTATAAACATTTTAATATATATAGAGTACTTTTTGTAATAAGTTCAAATAAACTGTGTTACTTAAATATCTAAACAATTTATAAATTCAAATGTTTAAACTAATTAATAAAATTTTTATAAATTTCTATTTTAGTTAAATATATACTTTTATTTAAAATAATTTTAAATGTAACAAAATTTATTTAGAAAATCGTATCGATTCTACCAATCCAACCAATTGGTGCTTGCGGATTCGATAACGAATATTTTATTCAAGCGAACTAGACTGGTTATAAAGCGTCTCTCGGTCCATCCAGTCGGACTGTGTCCAACCCGTTTTAATTTAAAAACAATGGCTGAATCATGATTAATGTTATTTATATATTTATTTATAATATAATCATAATATTGTTTTCCCGTACATCGCACGGACCACATACTAGTTAAAGATACATGTGATAACCTTTTATTATTTTTATATTCTAAAATCTATCTATAAATTGATCTTTGTATAGTTTATAACATGCGCCCTGAATTAAATTAGTAAAAATTTGTAAGAAAAATTCACTATTATTTAATCTAACATTAAAATTGTGTAAGGCTTATTAACTATACTTACAATATGATATAATAGCTTTAAAATTTTGTAAGAAAAATTCACTATTATTTAATCTAACATTGAAATTGTGTAAGGCTTATTAACTATACTTACAATATGATATAATAGCTTTATTTAAAATAACGTAAAAAAAATTGAATTTCTGTAATGTGAAGTAAATTCGTAGTTTTATTTAAAATAACATAAAATTAGTAATTCTATAATTTTGACTAATTTCATGGAATGATTATAGCATATTTTGCTATTCTAAAATCTTACGAATATATTTTATTTTCACTTAAAAATTGATATATTGATATGATGCCCAAAAAATTTATTCAATTTTGTATACTCATCTATATTTGAAATACAAATATTAAGATCACAGTAATTTTCACCGAATATTGTAATTATCAAGTATTATAAAATCTATCATGCTAACCAAAAGATTTAACGTCCATAGGGTTTAAAGTCAACAAAATCAAGTTGATTTGATAGTAACAAAATCGTCATGCTGACCAAAAATAACAAAGTTAAAATCTTGAAGATCACTTTTATTTAAAACTATATACTTGGATAATATATAGAATCATATTATACAAAATATCAACCTTATCATAAAATGAATGAAACTTTTAAAATTTGTCTATTAATATATAAAAAAACTGAAGCATTTACCTTTAAATTCCATTCTAAAAATTTTGTTTTTACAATTGACTTTGTTTTTTTCATGAAATCCCATCCAAAACACGTTTATAATTTTTTTTTAAAAAAGTCAATGTAAAACATCCCCAAATCAACTAAATCTATCTATTAATATATAATAACAATAGAGATGTAACCTTAAATAGAATAGAAATTTCTGCTTAAAATTTTCAGAGTTTCTATTGTTAGTATTTTTTTAGTAAAATGGCGGTTACTTTCAAAATTCGAATTGAAATTCAAAAAATTTGTTATTTGAGAAATATATTGTGTTAAATTTACTTCTTCAAAATATGGGTAATTATTTCTTTAAATTGGAAATCCGATTTTAAGTAATTTTTTGCAATATATTCAAAATCACTTTCATATCCAATTAGACATCCTATTTATATATAGTTTAAGGATCCAATCTCCTTAGAATTCCTTAAATTAACTTTGATGATTGTATATAGTTTAAGAATCAAATCTCTTTACAATAACAATATAATTAAACAAACACACGATTTTATTTCAGAAAATTTAAATTCAATATATAAATAACAAAATGAATTTTTTATTACTTAAAACGAATCCTATATTTTAAGAATTCTTTAAATATTTTATTGTACACCTACTACATTCACGGCGTCAAAATAATATTTGTATTATTTAGAAAGAATACTATATTTTAAGAATTCTTTAAAGTAACTTGATGATTCTATATACTTTAATCATCAGATCTCCTTATATAACAACATTATTAACCAAACACACGCTTTATTTATAAAAAAAATTGGATTCATTATATATGTAACACCGTGATCAATACATCATCACACACTAAGTGATATATAAAACTCATCATCCATAACAAAACAATACATGCAAAATATAGATGTTCAAATAATATGTATAAATATAAACTGTTAGCAAACTAATATAGTGTTAAGATAAAGTTTTAAAAAATATTTTAAAAAACAAACCCACCGTGCATCGCACGGATACTCATTAGTTAACAATAAAACAAACCACTATTTTGTAGTCATTTTAAGCTTTTTTTTACATGATTTACCTAAATGAGCCGATTTGAGTTCTAACTTATAGTACTCAAATTCAAGTTCAAACTCGTTAACTAAACGAGTTCGAGCTTGACTCATTTACCAAATTAGCTAAATCGAACTCAAGCCTTTGAACTATTAGTTTGGTTGTATGATTCTAATCAACACTAAAATTATAATAAATACTATACATAAAAAAGAGTATTTTTTTTTTCCACCATGAAGTAGCTCAAGATCAAGTTATATGAAAAATAAAATATAATTATTCGAAGAGTGCAAACTGTGCAGAAATCTTGGACAAATATCCAGCCAAAAATACTCAAAATACAAAACAAAACATGCCCATCTTCAAACTAGGCCCATCATTGATAGATTTGGTATCCGGACTTATATTTTNGTTTCCCCCCTCAATGTTCATCCTGGATTATTACACCTAAAAAAGAATTTTTGCCCAGCAGCTCAAAGTCCCGTTTAGCTGCTACTTCCACAGCTGAAAAAGTGTCAATCAAACCTATTGGTCTATAATGCTAAAAGCTATACAAATTATTGGTTCCTCTTCTTCAGGGTGTTTTTCCCTTCCCCAGAGATTCAAGCAGCCTTGTTCAAGAATTTCAATCATTTCGAGAAAACCCATCGAGCCCACAAATTTAAGAAGTCCCAAGACTCGATCTTTGGCTTTTCAAATTCGTAAAATCACTCATTTTACCGCTTTCCAAATGTCCAACACCCGTTCCGAGTCGAGCCCAGATGGCGTTTTACCATCTTCATCATCATCGTCTACAGCAGTTCAGACAACTGTGAGATTTGCCTATTTTCTGTTGATTCTGTTAAAATTTTATTTTGTTGTTTTCTCATGTTATTGAAAGTCTCATGGGTTGATGCAAGAAGATATTCGGTGGCTTTTGCACATGGGATTGATTTTGAGTAGACCAATTGCAGGATCGTGTTTTAAATTTGTGTTCTTTGGTGTGCCTTTGTGCTTCATCTATCTATTTCATAAAGGGTGACTTTGACTTTGATTTTGAGTACCATTGTTGTTCTGGATATTTGGTCACTTGGTCAGTTGATTTACTATGACTAGATGTTTGTAGCTTCTTCTTATGTTGCACATTGGGTTCTTATGCCACTCATTTCTTGTCATTATGGATTTGATCCCTTGGGGTGTAAATGTTTCATGTCAAGCCCCAATGGTACTTTAAATTCGCCCTCGTTGCCAAATTAAGCTAATTCCGCTAGTTTGTTGCACTGAGAGTCATTGTTTTCAACTTGTGGAAAGTTTGTCTTTTTCAAGTGATCACTGAATTCGGCGATAAGAGTTTACGAGATACAGCAATTACAACTGTGGTGTCCTTATGAAGGAGCTAACTTGTTCTTAAACCGATCTTTAAGATAAACTTGGTGAAGAAGATCACTGTTTGTTGCTTTCCCTCTTCTGCGTTTTTTTGTACAATTTATATTGCAAGATGGGCCTCATGGTGTATTATACATTCTATACGGTTTCTTTCATTTCATTTGCGGGCCCTAATAATGGTAAAATGTTTCAGGGCTGTAGTAGGAAAATCAATTTCTGCCAATGGTGTGGTGGCTCGACAAAGCATGAGATACCGGATGGGGAGGAAAAGGCAAGAGCCATTTGCACACTGTGTGGGAAAATCACTTATGAGAATCCAAAAATGGTGAGTATTGCGTGCTTAGCTGAAAATTGAAATAAATTAAAAAAATAATAAAAAAAAATAGTATGAGGCTTTTGCTTACTATTGCATGTTTTAGGTACAACAGTAGGGTAAACATTGCATGTTGAACAAGATTTAATTTAAGTATAGAGAAGTTTGTTGCATATTACTTATATTTCGAGTAAGGAGTCTTGCCAATATAAATATAAAACTCATTCCTTCCCCCCTTCTGTCACTTCATATGAATTTATGAATAACATAGAGAAATTATTTGGGAGTTAAATTGTTTGCTTGATTGATTGTTATTGTTGCTACAAATGTTTGTTGTTAACAAGAATGTGCATTGGATAATGATATACGAGACTATCAAAATTATAATTTTATGTCATGCATTGATTGTGCGAGAAAGTAGAAACTTGTGATGTGATGTTATATTGGTTTAATAGGTTGTTGGTTGCCTCATTGAACATGAAAACAAGATACTGCTATGTAAACGCAATATTCAACCGTCATTTGGCCTTTGGTAAGCATTATTTTCCACTGAAATTTTCTTTAAGAGGAGAACATTTTCTATTGCAAACTTCGGATTTCTTTTTTCTAGATGAGTATAGATATTACATAACTGCTGTTTCAGCACATCCGTAGCTGTTGTTACAGATGAGAACCAATATTATCATTTATANNGAACTTGCATAAATAATAACAAAGTGGAAAATTTTCCAAATTAATATTTTTTATGACCCTTAAAGGTTTTGTTATTTATCTTCTTGATTGCTGGCATGTACAGGACTCTTCCAGCCGGATACTTGGAGATTGGAGAATCTGCTGCAGAAGGAGCAATTAGGGAAACTTGGGAGGAAGCAAATGCAGAAGTCGAAGTTCAGTCACTGTTTGCTCATTTAGACATCCCTCTCATCGGCCAAGTATACGAACCATTCCTCATTCCTTGGATGAAATTACAATACAGCACCCGATCTTAAGCCTAATAATAATATTTTCCAGTTAATCTTAAAAAATCACAAATACCCCCTTGTGATCCTTGCTGACTGAACTAATATGCCACTGTTGACAGTGTAGTTTGTAAGATATCAACTAATAATATGAAGGTGGATGATTTTAGAATCATATGTTCCTTCTTTTAAAATGAGACAAACTTGAATGGCACTTTTTTGTGATAATACTTTTACACATTTAGCATGCGTATCATCTTGCTCAGTGTTGTAGCTTCGTGTGGACAGACGTACATTATTTTCCTGGCAAAGTTGAAGAGACCACACTTTGCACCGGGTCCAGAATCATCCGAATGCCAGCTTTTTGCGCATGAGGATATTCCTTTTGATTCTTTGGCGTTTTCATCGATGTTGGTCACGTTGAAATTGGTGAGTCCTTGCTTCTTACTCGAGCACAATTATGTATCTATAGTTTGTGTGTATAATAATTACTTACTATAACCTGTCTTTACTTGTGGCTGTAGTACTTTGAAGATATGAAGGTTGGAAGTCCCAAGTTTCACTATGGCATCATAAACAAAAGGTGATTTCTTGAGGCACTAATGTTATCAATTATCATCAGAGTTATCCAGTAAAACATCATAGTAAATGAAACTGTCAATTTTCGCTTGATGAAGTTAAGTTTAGTGTTTTATAAAACCAATTTGTGATTCTCCATATTTTAGTCAGAACAGAAAAGTAGCAGGGCAGGAAAGAGATTTAAATTTTCTGATAATACTTTTGTTTGATCTTCTGAACACAAAATGTCAAGATAGCCACTTAAAGATATAGCTTTTTCTGACACACTCTAAATTCAATGAAACAATGTTGATTTGTTTCTCTTTGACTATACATTGCTCAATAACTTGACGACATATTACCTTAAATATGTTTTTTTTTTCTTAGCAAAAATTGTTATGCCTTTCTGGACAGGCCCGGTACAAGCCCTTCGGAGATTAATGCTTACACGTTCGATCATCATATGAAATGCTGACAAATTACATCCCTCGACTGGGATGAACATAGTGTAGAAAGTCGACTGTTAGGTTTTTAGGGCCCAACACTAAGTCGTCCTTGATATGTTTTGTAATTTGTTTCACTTGGCAGTGTTGCTTTCTTCTTCTTGCAGGTGACAAATTGCATAATTGTACTAACTGAATTGTACTGTACATTTGAATATCAAAAGGGGATTATTACAGAATGCTCCTTGAGGTTTGATTCATTACACAGAACTCTTATTCGGTGTCAATTAGTTGGAAATAATGGACATAAAGGTCTTTTAAACTAAACGAGTCGTTTGTGAGCTCGACTCAGCTCTTTAATATTGATAAATGAACTGAAGTTCAAGCTCGTTGATCAGCTCATTTAGTTAACTAGTAAAGTGCACGTGCGATGCACGTGGTGAAAATTTTTTTTGGCTAACTAAGTTCGTGTGGATATGTTTGTTTCAGCTTATTAAGTTTTCCTAAACTCCCTTTAAATATAAAGTATGAATTGGTCGGGATAAATTATTAATGTTTCAAAATAAAATAGATAGTAGATGAATTTTTTAAAAATGTAAAGTAAATAAATTATTCCAATAAAGTACGTAACAAAAGATTGTTCTTAAATTTAAACAAGTAACTAAAGAATGTTCTTAAATTTAAATAATAAAGATAAGTAACTATGATCTTCAACTCTTCTCTTTCTTTATGTTGATGATCGGAGAGGAAGACTTCTTTTTCTTTCCTTTTGAATTTTTCGGCACACACTTCTTTTTAAGACTGTTGATTGTTTCATTATCCTCGATTTCAATCACACTATCATTGGCGTCTTCCTTCATCTTGTTAGTGACACATTTTTTTCTTAGAATTTGCTTTTTTGTGACGCCTCTTGATTCTTTTGTAGATGACTTGGAGATTTGGGAGATTCTGATGACCTTTATTTCATGTCATCATCATTGGTAGGTTTTAATCTTGCTATTGCTTCGGCAACCACGTTCATTTCTCCTCTTGAGTTGTAGGACTTATGATTTATTTGGATGAGAAATTGAAATTCGGTGGTTGATTGCAAGCTCAAGCCTCGATAGTAACCGGATGATTCTTCTCCCTAATTAATATGGAACGGAATTTGAGTTAAAATGGAGTATTTGAAAATGGATTGGAGCATACTCATTTTTTTATTAAGGGAAATTTTTATAGTTATATTTATGCGTGAAATAAATATAAAGACAAATATACAACAAAGACATCATTTATATTTTTATTTGTACAAAAGTAAAGTATTGACTCCATTACAACTTTAATAAAATCAAATATGGAATACGTAAATGCATTTATGACAACCTAATATAAAAATATAAAAAACAATAAAAACAACAAATTCTTGAAGTATAAAAGAAACATATAGTACACATTTAGATCTCATAAAAATATGTATGTATTTTGTATTGGAGGATTAAATATTTCTAACCTTCGATGAAACTTCATCGGTATCAAGACATGCAACGCCCATATTTTGGCCCTTGCGATGTTTATTTTTTTTAGCACAATACACTTGCTTCTGATAAGGATCTAAATCATTGTATCTTCTTTTCATCTTAGCCGCATTTCGACGTCGATATACATCCTTCACTGTGATACAATTGAATAAAAATGTTAAAAATAAAAAAAGATATATTAATGTAAAATAAATAATATAATGAAAATGTTTTACTATTAATTTATTATGGTGTATAACTTTCATAAATAATTTAATATGGATTTTCAATTAGTTAATTATCATATGATATAATAGATGAAAAAAATGCATATTAATATGTATATAATTATATATATATATATATATATATATTAATTACCTGTTGACAAATCAAATGTTGATGATTTTTCACTCATGCTACAACTTGATAAGATCCTTTAAAAACCAAATCATTTTGCCAAAGAATAATAAAATTAATTAAAAAGCAAAAATAAAATCTAAAATTAGCAAGAGAAGTGAAATTAAAATAGAACTGAAGGTAAAGAAATATGTTGTCGAGATAATTTGTGGTCTCAATTTCAAGAAAACTATGACCAGAAACACAGTTTTTGATGAAAAATTACCATTACAAACCCATAGCGAAGACTAATATAAAATCTAGCATGAAAATCGATTTAGGAAAATTACATTCAAAAATGGATTATAAAAATTAAAGTATTATTGATATTAACATTGTTTGATTGTAAATAAATAATCCCAGCACTATGTATGATTGTAAATAAATAATCCCGGGCAATAAATACTCCCAACAATATGTCTATTGTAATTAACATTCGAAATATTTATGATTGTAATTAAAACTAAAAAGTAAATATTCGCAGCAATACTCGAAGACAACCATGGTTATCTACAACCATAACTAAGGCATTGTAAAAATAAAATTATTGTTTATGTAATTGGTTTTGATGTTACCGTTGTAGATCTTTAGTTTTACCGACTTAAGATTGCCGGCTTTATAACCCTCCTTAATCACTCTATGCCTGTATATAATAACTAAGAAAATATGTAGCTTCTGTACACTTTGTATGTAAGGAGCACTAACCACTTGAATATGGGTTAATGCACATAAACAAATTGATTTTATAAATCGGTCTAAAGTTTCATGTTGGCTGGAAAGTTTTCGGTAAAGCATATTCAATCAATGGCACCCGAATTCAATAACACAAACGTGAATGAACTTAGTAAAAACAAAAATCCACAAAAGAAAAAACAAAAATTAATAACTACAATGTGTATGTAAGGAGCACTAATCACTGGAATATGGGTTAATGCACATAAACAAATTGATTTCATAAATCAATCGAAAGTTTCATCTTGGTTGGAGTTTTCGGTAAAGCATATTCAATCAATGCCATCCGAATTCGATAACACAAACGTGAATGAAGTTAAATAAAAAAAAATCCACTAAAAAAAAGCCAAAAAAAAAAAAAATCGTTCGGGAAATTTTTGGGCAGGAAATCAGGAATGTTTTTGGGGGATTCCCTTCTCTTTTGTTAGAATGAATGCCCCAGAAAACTCAAACATGTCCCATTTGCAACGAAAACCAAGAATAAAGACCCCAACATTCATCATGCCACAAATTTGACAAATATATACACACAGACATGGGTGGGATTGTGTAATTATATAAACCACTATTTGAACATAAAAGGGTGTAACTATCTTCCCTTCTCTTCCCTCTTTCATCAAATTCAGTTGGTGAAAATTTATCATTGCGTAAATTTATCAAATATGAAATCTAAAATACGAAGTAGCAAAAGTGTCTTTAAAGTGAAAGACAGTAAATAAAATCACCACACGATTAAGTACCCTAACACCATAGAATCGTGAGCATAACAAAATTTTTTTGGGGCTGACCTTCTTTGCTCCCTGGCCGATTTTCTTGACTCGATATAATTTTTTTTTTCAATTTATTTAAATAAACGAAGGATCTAAGTACCTAATCAAACATAAATACGTAATTTAGCCAACAAATTACAAACAAATCCATTATCAGTGCCAAAAGAAGAAGGAAAAAAAAAATCCAAAAAGAAACAATCAATGTGGACCATATTCCAACAAAAACAGAAAACAGTCCACATTAGCCGTAGTTAAAAAATGCCATTTTCTACATTTATCCCTCGGAGTATATTTTCACGCAACAAATCGGAGTGTTTTGGATTCAATTTTCGATTAAAAAGTGTACTGATTTTTATTTTTGACATGTTTACCTAAGGAGATTCGAGAAAATTTAAACATCATAACCCACCACTGTAAAGTCCATCTCAACATGACAGAAACTAATTAAACAGGAACTTAATATTTAACATTCATTTGGTAGAGACAAAATGATGATATGATAAGTATTAACAGTCTCTAGCTAAGGGAAATAAACAGTGAGAAATCGATACCTCGGAACCCAAAATAATTTCCTTCACTTACTGCATAGAAAAAGACATCTCATTACAAGAGATAAATTTTGAACTTAAGCAAAATACATCAGTTCAACCTTTTTTAGATAATAAAGAGCATACAGTAAATGCATATATTTGCAGGTCATATAATTTAGCAATCCCTCAATGTCAATTATTGAAACAATTTGATTATCATACAAATGAACAATTACTGGGTGCAAGCAATATGCGCATTATTTGCCAAGAATTTTATCACTAATGCAACATCACGGCAATTATAATTGACACCCAGGCCTGCAAATTTATGAGGATGAATTTGAAAACACAAATCATGGTTGCTGGGATATTTAAATTCAAACAATTAAAAAAAACACATTCTTACGCCAAGCCATTAAAAGTTCAAACCGAAGGACAAATTAGGATAAGATATTTAACAGATAATGAAGTCCTATTGTGAGAAATATCAGAAAACCATTTATGACCTGCTTGAAAATCCTACGGCTTTTGGATGGGTTTACGGCTTGCACCTGATTGAAAATCCTACGGCTTTCGGGTGAGTCTACGGATTTCGGATTTCGGATTTCTGAAGGAATGTCGATTTGTGGATTTGGGGATAGATAATTTGGTTTAGGACTGTATTATTAATATTAAATAAAAAAATTAATTTAGAAAAGTAAGATTAGTTTAGGCAAATCATAATTTTACTGGTACTTTTAATATAGTAGAGATAAGCCGAGCTCGGTCCGGATTGATAAAGGCGAGTATCAAGAGTTTGGCTTGCGTCATTTACAAGTCTATGGACATATATATGTGTACAACTTATTAAGTGGAGATAAGTATATGAGAGAGAACAATTATACAAATTAAGGTACATAAATATTCCATATAAAAAATTGGAACTTCAAAAAAGAGCTCGAGATAATATTTGTTGAAGGCATATATTTCTTATACTAACTTGTGTAATATTGAATTGTACTTGTATTAAGTGCTATATGATATGTTTTAGATTTATTTTATTAATAAAGTCTCTTGTCATACGTGAATATAAAATTATTAATGTGATTTTGTTATGAAATAATAAAATAATGTATGTGAATGACTATTTTGCCCTCAATGTATTTGTATTATTACAAATTGTGTCATCAGGAGTTTCCTATAAATAGGAGCTTCAGTTATAATGAAAAACACACCTAAGAGAATACATTTTCTCTATTCTCTCTCTTTCTCTCTAGTTTTATAACACGTTATCAGCACGAGTCTCAACCCTTTTAGAGCTCGATTTGTAATATGACGAGAGTATGTTCTACAGTTGCGTCTTATAGACGATCTTCTGTATCAAAAATCAAAATATTACAAATCGTCTTCTTCCTCAAACAATACTCCATGCTAGAAAAATCATGTGTTTCCCAATTACAGAAGTTAAGCACAAAAAAAGATGAGCCTTTATAGAAAAATAATGAAAAGTGTTTTCATCATCCACTTTCATAATTCTGTTCATACTTTCCCTCTGATGAATAGCCAATATTTTTCGAAATCAGGAGATGAAAAAACCATTTGAACCTTCATCTATTTTGATATAGTAAATAATATTAACAATAACAATGACAACAATAATATGAGGAAAATACAATATGAAAAAAAGAAAAAAAAAAAAACAAGAAAAGTTATGTAAACTTACACTAGAAAAACAAAATTCACTAGATGGTGTTTGTACAATGACGATGTTGGAAAACCATAACATCAGCAATGGAAGCGAGCAGGCGATGGTCGAGTTGAAAAGAAGGGCTCTGAACACTATTCGTCGGTCACATTCTCTTCAAGTAAGTAGTAATTCATTAACATAGATTTTGACTTGTTGCAGACAAGAAATGTGCAGAACTTTTCTTTACGATATACATCAATGGCCTCAAAGTGTTAGCTTGAAGGTAAAGATGATGATTTAATTATTGAGAGCAATTAATGCCCATATATTCATGAATAGTATTGGCTATAAATGTTCACACAAACACATGAACTATTGATAGAGACATTTTAAAACAAATACATGCACTATGACAAGGTGTCGGCAATAATATTCATGGTGTGTTCATGACATATGCATTATGGACAATTTAATATATCAACAAACTATTTCAATAATCCATTAAACTTTGAAATTCACTTTTCTCGAGAAATGCATACAATATAAAAAAATAGTGTTTTATGATCTCATAATATTTCTTTTAAATAAGAGATTCGATTTAAGACCAATATTGATATGATTTATTGAATTATATTAATATATATTGTTATTATGAACTGTTGATTTTCTTCTATTGAGAAAATTATTTGGTACATGAACGTGCGAATATTTATGGATTGACCCTTGTGATATGAAAAGAAATATGTGTGGCTATATGGATCAGCCAGTGCGGCTCTGCCGCCAGCAAGTAATATTTAATGGTAACCAACGGGTCAATTATTGATCAAAAATATTATAAAGAAATATGACCGATCATATGAAATGGCCAAGTGTTGCAGCCACCAGCAACAGATAATATTGAACGGCTAAATGGATCAGTCAGTATATTAATGATAACCGGGGATATAGAATGGCCAGGTGGCAACGCCACGTGCAACAAATGAATGGCTATACATATACATGGGTCGGCCAGTGCGGCACTGCCGCCGGCGATGGGCAGTACAAATTAAGTGATAGCCAATGAGTGAAATTAATGATACTTTGTATCTGACCATGTGAAAGTTAATTAAAGTCCTTGTCATGAACAGACATTATATGGACTAACCTGGTCCTGAAGTATCAGTTGATAAATTCTCCAAATTTATGGAGATATGAATATTGATGAGATGGTACTATAAGTTACCACATGATTAATGTGATGTCGGAAGTTATGGCATAATGATTAAATGATATCATGGTATAGTAGTACTGGATGCTACCACTTTATGATTAAACAAAGTGATGAAATGGTACTAGAAGCTACCATTGGATGATTGAACAAAATGAGAAAGTGGTATCAAAAGCTACCAGCTATGGGTGATCACACAAAAATGATTTCTCAATATATTATATAAGTCTAAGGGGCTATATCAGATGACGAGATCACATTGGGATACGAGATCATACAGATATTACAATAAAGTGCTCCGGAAGAAGCACAAATGATAATGATTGTAGTCATGAACTACTATACACTGAGAAAAATCGAAATTGATATTATTATTACTGAGAAACAAGTACAAAATGTTCAGATGGTGGAAATATGGAAAAGAGGCAGTAAATACTCGATGAATACAAAATACGCAAAGATTACATAATAGAACCCATAAAAGAAGGGTGCGTCTCGAGAGTGTAAAACTCCGTAACTCTGCCACCCATGAATGATATCTGGGTTCATATTTGAATAATATCTGGGTTCATAATGAGAGATCTAAAGGATCAAAAGCTCTTTTTCGCTTGACCCCTTGTGTTTCCACAGAATCTTGAAATGTGATGCATTCTTGAAGCTTTTTGATAAGTTCAGCAGACGTGTCAGCAGATTTGAATACTTCTCTCATTGAAGGAGATATAAAGGTTTGATATACTCCTATGTCTAAAAATCCAAGCAAACCATGAAAGAAGTTATTAAAGTTCAATAGACCTATGGGCTTGTTATGAAGTTTCAATTCTGCCCATAAAGCAATGGTGAACATTGTCATTAGCGTTCCATACCCGCCTGGAAGAATGATAAAAGCATCGCTATTGTTCACCATATCCATCATACAATCATGAATGGAATGAGTTAACATCATGCTTGTGGAATCCTTGACGACCTTTGTTGAAGCTCTACGAAAAGGTATGATACTTTTCACTTCTATCTCAAAACATTGTCCAGCCATTAAGAGACTATCATAGAAAGTATTGCTAGTCCCTCCATACAGCAAATTGATTTTTTGATTCCCCATCTCTTTGACTAACTGACTTACAATATCAATAGTTTGAGAAAAACTTACCAGTTTAGAACCACCAAGAACACATATGGTTTTGATCGGTTGAAGAAAATTATTACCTTGCGAAGACTCTGAAACATCCATCTATTTATTGATAAACTGAATTTTTCAAAACTTTGTGAGGCATATGATTATGATGAACGACTCGCTATTTAAATAGAAAGTTTTACAAAGCAATAAATAATTTTACTGTTTTCTTCTGACAATTGCAACTGACAGATAAGGTGTTGGGTTTTAAATAAATCTTATCTGTCGGCAACTATAAGTTTTTCTAGAAAATTACAGTACAACATACTAAACTGTATTAGTATGATTTTTCGTACTAACAAGACCAGTTTTACAAACTTGATCTTTTGAAATAATATTTTCGAGACTATAACGTTCTTCTTCATTTTTGAACTGAATCCATAAAGACATAAGCTCACGATGCACGTATCCACTAGGATGTGTCTCAAGAATCTGTTGAATCGTTTGATCCAAAGACTCCTTACTCAATCCATCCTTTATAAACGTTATTTTATCTTCTCGATTTTTGGACACGTACCCCACAGATATACATCGTGTGTCACAAGTCCATCGAGCGCATTTGAAGCATCCACCTAACCTTTTTGCTCTTCGTTTCTTTGCATAAGTACTTTTACCCATACCTGGCATATATTTATATGAATTTGGAAACTCTCCAGACAATCGAACTTGTGCTTCGATCAACCATCTAACATCATTTGGAATACCATTATTCATTAGCATCCTCAATCTTTCTAATCGAGATCGATAAATCCTTTTTATGATATTTTTCGGAAGAAAAGAATAATATTTACGGATATTTGAGAGTGCTAAATCCATTTGTAAATTCGGACCTTTGTTAAAGAAAATTGAATGAATTACCTGATAATTTATAGAAAAATATGATGCGTATGAGATACGACTCTGGACTTAAACAGTGTTCAAAAGTATGTGTGTCAGACAGCATGATACGATTCTGGATTTAAACAGTGGTTAAAAGATATTATACCAGAGCCTACACTTAAAGTGCATTTATTGCCGCCGAAAGATGATGTGAAATGTTTGTGATAAACATGTCACAACGAATTATTGTGATCACTTTAAAAATGTTTACCGATATTATTGATGATGGTTTGCATGATGAACTTATTCTTTGTGATATGAGATGCTTGTTCCCGATTGGTGAAAAATATTACTAGCTAAATATTTGTGAATCGATATATGATCAATCTGAGTATGAAAGGGGTACGATATATATGGGCCCACTACCCCTCCATGTGTGCTACTAGATATTATGGATCCACTAGATAGCCACATGTGTGTGATTCGTAACCTGAAGTTACGAGATGATTTGATCAAAGAATGTGTATATGACATGTAACCTGAATTTACGAGATGGTTTGATCTAAGGATGACACAAGATGATTATGAAAGAATGAAAATAAGTGTCATATGAAAGTGATGAAGCTAGTAATATACTCACCTGATATGATGAACTCTTGAAAGAAAAATGTGCACACTACAAATGATATGAGTTCAAAGTCCTCCAAATATATGTTGAAATCAAGAACAAAATAGAGACTATATGAACTCCCCTCAAGAAATTCAATACTAAAAATACAGATCAGGAATCTGTTAAGATGAGGGAGAGAATCAATGATTGAAATTTGGAAATGATATATGCATCACAGTGAAAGTGTGCAAATCATAAACTATATGATACTGATGATGATGAATTATATGAAATGATATGATAGTGGAATAATACGCTGGAAGCATTGGTATTGTGCAAATTGAAATTCCCCGAATAAGTGATGAAAGAGGGTATATTTACTATTGTTGAAATCAATTGATAATGAGATATCTCAATATACTACGGGGAATAATGGAAATGAATAAGTGTCGACACAAACAAATGAATAGCGCTATATAAATGATATTGACGAGAATGAAATCAGCTGAAATGTGAATATTGGGAACTATTGGCAGTAACACCATTGAAATCAATTGATGATGAGAATGAGTTTAAGAATAAACGTTGCACAAAGCATGATATGACATATTGTCATGAATACCATCAGTATCTGAAAATCTGAACGAATTTATATGATACTCATACAAATTATGGAAAGATTATTATGGTGAATATATGAAATACGCGTTGTACTCTTTTTCCCTTGGCTAAGGTTTTGTCCCATTGGGTTTTCCTAGCAAGGTTTTTAATGAGGCAACAAGGATGGCGTATTCACATGAATAGTGTACTCTTTTTCCTTCATTAGGATTTTGTCCCACTGGGTTTTTCCTAATAAGGTTTTAACGAGGCATATTCATGGTATGATGAGGACTACTGGATAAATGATATGATTCTTCACGATGACAAGAGATACTGGAGTAGCTGTACTCTTTTTCCTTCGATCAAGTTTTTTCCCACTGGGTTTTCTTGACAAGGTTTTAACGAGGCAGCACATGGATATTCCACTAAAGATGATATATTTGAGGGGGAGCTATGTTGTGCTTCCACAATGCTTAGGTTTTGTCCCACTGGGTTTTCCTGAAGAAACAATGTTATGATTTCAAGATGATCAGGTTTTGTCCTACCGGGTTTTCCTGACGTGCTGAAGCAACGGTACCTGATGGCCACAAGATACACTTGAAGATGTGCAGATTGGGCTTTGTTCAAGTCAGTTAAAATATGTTTAGAAAATAGTCATTCAAGGGGGAGTGTTATGAAATAATAAAATAATGTATGTGAATGACTATTTTGCCCTCAATGTATTTGTATTATTACAAATTGTGCCATCAGGAGTTTCCTATAAATACGAGCTTCAGTTATAATGAAAAACACACCTAAGAGAATACATTTTCTCTATTCTCTCTCTTTCTCTCTCGTTTTATAACAGATTTAAAATTATATAACAAGTAAAGGTATAAAAGAATGGAGTTCGACATTCTGATACACAAACAAAAATTTGATAAATATTTGCATTTATCTTGTCGAGTCGAGACGAGTAAGTTCAAAATTCTAATACACAAACACAAATTTGATAAATTATTTGTCGAGTCGAGACGAGTAAGTTCGAAATTCTAATACACAAACACAAATTTGATAAATTATTTGCATTCATGGAGTCAGAGACGAGTCAATAAACACACTCGAGCACAATTAACTTGAGCTCTAACAAACTTAACTCGTGACGAATTGATTTGTAGAAAATTAAATGAAAATTCAGATTTTCGTGTCTTAAACCAACCAACTCGATCTAAAATAAATTAGGAAAATTTCTGACAATTATGCCCCGGTCGTTTGGTAATAATTCTTCCGAAGTCCCAACCCAGAAATCTGTGCTTCAGGCTATCGCGTCCACTCAGCTTCATCTTCAGCTCACAATCACACTCTTGCTCTTCACAAATTTTTCTCAGATCGTTTTCCATTTACATATAAATTTCAGAAGCTGCTGGGTTTTTCTATGGCCTGTTCAGTTTCGGTTCAAACCTTTTCAATCTCTTCCAAAGCCCATTTACCCCCCGCGTCATTTTCTCCACATTCCACCCAATTATTTTTTCTTGAAAATGGATACAAAAATGGCAAAAGTGGAAAGTATTTCCGAAAGTTGAGAGCCATGGTGCAGCAGGCCGTGCAAGGCTCTTCAGCTGTGTATGCAAAAGAGATGGAGAGGCTCTCTGCTAAAGAATCTCTACTTCTTGCTGTAATAAGATTTTTAATATGTTTTTAAAAATTTCGATTTGTTTTTTGGGGAGGAATTAAATGATTCTTTGATTTCTTGAGAATATTTTAGTGATGGGTTTGTTTTGTTACTTAGTTTCTTGTTGTATCTTGCTTAAAATTTTGATTTTTGAATGAAATACAATGTAGTTGACTCTTCAATGAATTTGTAGTGATAATGGTGTTTTTTTTTCTTTATGTGTGAGTGTGGTAGTAGTTGATCTTTGTGAGTTGCTTGTCTTTGGAATTTTTTGGATTTGATCATAATATGCTAGTGTTATGACTTTGGAAGAATGAGATGATTTTAAGGATGAGTGTGGCACCTTGAATTTCTGCTTTAGTTACATCAATATTGTTTTGGCAAATGTGGTTCAGTTCAAAGATGCCGGGGGATTTGGGGCATTGGTCACTGGAAAGACAACGGAAATGCAAAGAATTGATGTGAATGAGAGAATTGTTGGTCTTGAGCGGCTGAGTCCTACGCCTCGACCCACGACGTAAAACTCTTTTCTTTATTATATTGTTTATATCTTAGGTTTTTGTTCTGTCATCTGCTGTTATAGGATAGTTCCTCCTATGAGGTGTTCATTTTTGTGTTTTCTGGCTACTTAGGTCCCCTTATTTGGAAGGCCGGTGGAATTTTGAGTGGTTTGAATCGGGAAGCTTGGGGTTCATTGCAGCTCGTTTGCTGTTTGAGTAAGTTGCGTTTTCTTTCGTGTTTGTTTAGGGAGAATATGCAAAAATTTATGCTTTAAGTTTAAGAAGAAATTCCTTAATGTGGCACAAGTTAAAAGTGGTGTTGGTATTAGTAAAATAAAAGCAGTAAGGAAAGAAATTGACTAAAAATGTGTTTTTTTAGCATAGAAGCTGATATTTCGGTTTGGTATTTTGTGATTGTATTAGTCGGACATATTGTTAGATTGAATATAATTTTCCTGTGAATATCATTTTTGAGTTTATCAGGAAATATGCAACGAAACTCTGTAACTAAACCAAGAGTTAACAGCCCATCATGTGCATTAATATTTTACACAACTAGCAGATTTTTAAGCATACATAATTCTCATTTCAACTTTACATTATGGTGCAGGAGGTTCCCTCCCGAGTTGGCAAATTTATTGAAAGTGGATGTGGTGATCAAGGATGGATACACGAAAGTTGCAGCAAGTTTGAAATTATTAAACTCGGTAATACTTTATATGAACTATTGTTTACATTCAATCAAGATGTTCTGTCCTCATCACACGATTAGGCGATAAATTTGGTCCACTTTAGGTGATAACGGTGATGCCATGCACCTCATTAATTTCAATTAAATTGAAATTAATGATCTTTCATGAATGCTTTTTCTCTAATGACGGCAAGAAAAGAAACTAGTAGAAATAAAGTCAAGAAAAAATTCTATGTTTAAGGGACTAATGTCCAACAGCTAACCGGATTTGCTAGAAAAATTCTAAACCAATTAAAACTAGTGTAAGTTTTGTGCCTGCTAAGAAAAGAAAAAATAAGTGCAGATAGAAAGCAAATTCATCATCTCTAGCAAACTATCCGTGGAGGGACCCCTTCGGATGAAAGAGGAATATATTGAAGGGTTATTAGAATCCCCAAAAGTTGATGAAGAATCTGTGCCTCAGCAGCTAAAAGGCGCTTTAAGTCAGGCAGTCACCACCGTTCAACAGCTTCCGCTTCCTATTAAGGACATTCTAGTCGGTGGAATGAAGGTCCCTCTTGGTGAGTAATCTTCGAGATATCTGATTTTTTTTTTTTTTTTTTTTTTTTTTTTTTCGTGATCCACTGTGAAGGAATAAAACACTAATTTTGCACAATTCTACTAGTTTATCATCTAGCGCAGAGAAGGCTCTTTCTTTTTCCTTACTATTACTATGATAACACTGAAGCCTGTGATCACTTTAATTTAATCTTCCTTCTAAGTCTGCTTTTTTCGGAACTTCACCATGAACTCCAGGTGGGACACTTGAGAGATTATTCATGATTTCTTATCTTGACGACGAGATCCTGGTAAGTTCAATCATCGTTTTCTCAGCTATAAAAAGTGCACAAAATATCACCACTATTGAAAAGGTGTGTATATATATATGGATATTATTATTAATGAATCTTGTGCAGATAATAAGGAATAGTGCCGGGATCCCAGAAGTACTCACCAGATTAGACCCTGGACCATCACCCTTGGTATGACTGGTAGCTGAATGATCAATCAATCTTGAAAGGAGCACAAACTGCAGTTTTTTCATTTTTTTTGTAATTTTTAGAGAGATCACATTTATACTTGTCACCATTGATGTCCCAATAAACATTAAGTATATTGACAAGAAACTCTTGTTGTATTTTTCTCACTCGGTCGTTTCAATATAATCTCTNATCATTTGTTATGTTTTCCATTGTCCATATTTATTACGGCACGATGTGTAATGCGACGAGGGTGAGGCAGCATTGAATCAAAAGTAACTTTAAGTTTTTTCATGGATGAGAAGGGTTGTTGTCAGAGTTAGGGCATGCTTGTTTACAAATAATTTCATTTTCAATCCAATTCATACTCAAAATCTAACTCAACTTTAACTCAACCCTATTATCTTTAATTTATTCATATAATTAAATAATACAAACCAATCATTCTTACACATCACATCAACTTTAATTCACTATTCATCCACTCACATAATTTTAACTACCTATCATTTCTAATCATTTTCAATCATTTATCTCTTATTTTTACATCAAATCAATTTTAATCATTTTATTTTAAATATTATTTTAATACATTCTTAAAATCTCACTAACAATTAACCATACTATTTTTTCAAAATTAACTCTAGTTAATTAAAATAACTCATTTTGAATGAAATATTTCATAAACAAGCACGCCCTTAGTTTTTTGTGCCTTGTTTTCATTTCCTTTTAATGCCATTTTAATGTAAAGCCTGCAGTGTAAACTGCAACTATACATGATGAACACAGTTTGATAAAAACTTCATTTCTTTTAGAAATTGAAACCTAGTAATCTACAAGAAAATTTCAAGATAACTAATAAACACCATACATTACATAAATAAAAGATACCTAAAAAAGTAGAGATATTTCAGTTTTCCTGAATAACAGAAGTAAACATATTGAAATGCAGCCAAAATTTCAGTACAATCTCTCTCTCAGTCTCACTACAAAATCAAAATGCCCACAACAAGTACACACCAATTAGTCCCACTCTCATCATCCCTTCTACACTCACCAACAAAAATGAATTGAACGATTTCAACACGTTCAAACTACACAAAACCAACCAATTCCAAAAAAAAAAAACCTAAATGCCACCCCTCAAAAGCATTCATCTTGAGTTGTACCTTCTATAAATGGAAACTGATCCACATTGCTAATCTCCTTCAAGAACCCATGATGACCACCGATGACATCATCATCGTCGTCATCAAACTCCAAGAACCCGCCGCCCGTATTAGCGTCTCTCCAAATCTCTTCCTCCCCTTTAATCTTCTCTCTAAACCCTTCTCCCCCTACATGAAATCCGGCCATCATCTCCATTTTCTCGTTCGAGCAAAGCATATTAATATTTTCGTTTTTCGGCTCAGGCTCGACTAACACCTTTGGCTTCTTGGCGACCTTCTCTTCGTCAGACGGCTTTCCGGTGAGCCTCTGGACAAGCTCCCTGAAGTTAGCGGCATCGGTTTTGATCACCTGCGGCGCGAATATGTGGATTATCCGGATTTTGGACTTGGGTTTTGGGGTTGTGTGGGGATTCTTGTGCATGGCTTAGTGAAGAATGGACTATGGAGCTACGTGTGTAATGTGCTTAGGAACAATGTATTTTGAAAAAAAAAAAAATTAAATAAATTATTCTTTGGTTTTAGCTCTTGGCATGAAGTTATTTTTTGGATTGTGTGAATCAAAGATTGGAGAAAGTAGACCACAAAAACACAGGGAGATAGGAGAATTTGATGGGGAGCAGGCGTAACTGTTATGAAAGAGAGACATCAAAAAACAGATCTTGTTGAATTATAATAGGAAATTGAAAAACACGTGTACATATAATCTAGAAGGGAGAGAGATAAGGATAAAAATATATTTTTTTTTTAATTAAGCACAAATATACATAGATGCTTCTATTTACAAAATCTCTCAACTTGTTACTGTATGATATTGTTCTTTTAATATTAGTAGTTGAATTTTTACTGTTCTTATTAGCCATTAGATAGACGTGAGTTGTATTTTAACTCCAATTTAATATTAGTAGTTGGATTTGTACTGTTCTTATTAGCCATTAGATATACTAAACAATATTTATAATTAAAGATATGGGTTAACAAGTCATAGAATTTACCAATTTATACTAAATAGTATTTATCATTAAAGATATTGGTTAACAGTAATACAATTTACCAATTTCTACGAAAAGCATTTTGAGTAAGAAAAAAAAAACATGTCTGTCTAAAATATTAAAAAAAAAAACTAAAGTATTATATAACACATGTGAAAAATCTAAAGTGTTCTATTATTTTAAAAAAATGTGTGAAATCACCTAAATTTTTTTGAAATATTCATGAAAATATGTCTAAAAACATCTAAATTAAATTATTTTGTTCTATGATAATATACTAAAATATTTTATATACATCGTGAAATACAACTTTCATCACACTTAGATGCTATAAATTCTCCTAATTTATTTCGATGTATCTAGTTATTTTTTACTATACACAACTTTTAATGTTTATAGCGTATAGTATAAATAAAAAAATATAAATAAATAAATAAATAAATAAGATAACACAATCAACTTTTAATACCTAACCTGCATACTTGTCCTAGTGAGCCTTTGATATTCTTGTAATTTGGTGGAATTTAATTTGGTAAAATGAGGATTCAGGAGGAAGTGAATGATTGACTTATTTTTTTGGGAAGGAATAGACTAGAAATTTTTAGTAGAGGTTTGTAATGGTTTTAAGGCGAGTTGTATGATTGACAGAATAATCTTTCCCACCTATTTGCTGTGGTGGTTCTAAGGCGAGTTGTATGATTGAGAGAATAATCTTTCCCACCTATTTGCTGTGGTGGTTATGGAAAACTAACAACAACTGCATTTTTTAAAAAAACTTGGGAGGATAAGGGCTTGATTGTTCAAAATGAGTTATTTTGGTTAATCATTGTTAATTTAAAAAAAAATAGTATGGTTAGTTGTTAGTATAATTTTAAGAATGTATTAAAATAATATTTAAAATAAAATGATTAAAATTGATTTGACGTAAAAGTAGTAGATAAATGATTGGTAGTCAAAATTATGTGAGTGGATGAATAGTGAATTAAAGTTGATGTGATGTGTAAGAATGATTGGTTTATATTATTTAATTATATAAATAATATTAAAAATAGTGGAGTTGAGTTAAATTTTAAGTATGAAATAAATGTGAGTAAAGTACAATCAAGCCCTAAAAATAGAATAGTGCAGAGGGCAATGGATGATTGGCAGTTGGTTGGGTTGATTAAGAGGGGATAAAATAGAATAGTGCAGAGGGAGTGGATGATTGGCAGTTGGTTGGGTTGATTAAGAGGGGATAAAATAGAATAGTGCAGAGGGAGTGGATGATTGGCAGTTGGTTGGGTTGATTAAGGGGGGAGGGGACATTAGTCCAGGGTTGAAAGGGTTGCAGGGGTGTGAGGTTTCTTCTACTGAGAGGGGTGGGTATGAAGGAGGGGCTGACAAGGATTGCAGTAGTAACTTAGGAAACTCTATTTCATTATCTGTTTGCTGCTGTATTAAAAATGGGAGACTGAGATTAGGAGGAAGGGCTTTCAATGGTGAGAAAGACCTGCAGTTATGGGATGCATCTAGTGACTTTGTGGAAAGTTTAGTGGAGGACTATGTTGTGGCTATACTATGGGTGCTTAAATATGCTCTGAAACATAATTGGAGAAATGTGACATGCTTTGTGGACAATTTGAAGGCTGTGAGCTGCTGCTGCGAGAACATGAAGACTGGGTACAAGAGGGATGAAGGGGCAGACTCTCTTAGATTGCTGTGTTTATATAAAAATATTGAGAGTTTTGGAGCTTAAATATCAACTTTTATAATGATGTGAGTCTGATTTTTGTTGCTTCATCATCTCATGTTCAACTATGTTTTTTAACCTCGGTGTGTCAAATTAAAGTGAGTCGAAATAGCTTTATGGAGATTTTAACTTTTATTCATGCCGATTTTTAATTATAAAATACTTATCAATTTAAATAATAAATATGTTTTAAACTTGAATAACTTTTTTTTTTAATTATCAGTTTCTAGTATACATTATCAAATAAATCATCTACAAATAATTCAAACATCATACGGAAAAAAAAATCTACTTTTATAAATAAAAACTAAAGGTTCTGATAAATCCTAGTTAAAAGATAATTCTCAAGTGGTAAGCGTTTGATGTCCCTTAAGTAAGGTCTCGAGTTCGAGTCCTTGTGGATGCAGAAAACCTTTGTTGGAAGACTCACCCACCATTGTCAGGTGTGCGACCCGGGTCGACAACGGGTTAAACGGGACATAGCTCCGGATACCGTGACTGGCTACGAAAAAAATAATAGTAATAATAATAATAATAATAATTTATTAATTAAATAAATTTATCAATGAAGCCTATAAGTAATTGAGTAGTCCATATAGATTTATATTTTTTAATCGACAAATATTACGATTTTTTAAATTATAAATTACTCGGTTATCTTAAATTATAAATATCTTTCAATTTAACATTCATATTGCATATATTAAATAAAAAGCAAATATCTATATTTAAATTAAATTAAAACCATCAATACTAATTGACTACAACAAAATAATTATTTATCAATCAATACATTTTACTATCAAACCTACTAAATCATTAGTAAGATAAAGTTTTTAACCCTCGTTCAATAAAGAGAATGTAGCTATATAAATATTAGGGTAAATAATAATTTGTAACCTGTACTATACGCGAATTTAGGATTTGCAACCTAAAGAATGTTGTACTAATCGCAACCGTTGATACACGATTTGTCTATATCGCAAACTCCGGCCATCGGCGGCCCATTTTTCACCGGAAAAGCGAGCGTGCGACACACACGTACCAAATTTGAGGGCAAAAATGCCATTCATCTCTCTTCCTCCTTCTTCTTTCATCCTCTCTCTCTCACATGCTCTCACACACAGTCAAATCAAAAATTGAATTCCTCTTTAATACACGGTGTAGCTAGCCGTGAAGTCGCCGAACCGGACCAGGCTAACGTAAAATGATATCCCGGCGACGGAGGATAGCGGGAAGAACGGAGGCAGCTGGAGGATGGTGAAGTTTTTCTCCTTTGACAGGGCGATGGAGGCGGCGTTCAAGAAAGCGCCGCCGTAGAGTGATGCTGTTGGAAGGAAAAATGGGGGCTGCGAGGAAGAAGATGAACATAGCAAAGATAAATTTCGAACACATCTTGAAATTTCGATTGCTTTCTTCTTCAGATCTGAGGCAATAATTTTGACAAATGATGAACAGAGCAAAGAGAAATTTCAAACACATCTTGAAATTTCGATTTCTTCTTCAGATCTGAGACAATAATTTCGACAAATGATGAACAGAGCAAAGAGAGATTTCGAACACATCTTGAAATTTCAATTGCTTTCTTCTCATATATGAGGCAATAATATCGATAAATTCGTCCAAATTGAAGTCGAATTTGAATGCTGAGACTCCGTCGGGGACAAAATATGGCTCCTTTTACCAGGCACTGCGGCGGATGGCAGCTTCTGCAGTTCCCTTGAATTTGACATGAGAGGTATGATGAAAGAAGAAGGATGAAGAGAGATGAAATGACATTTTTGCCCTCAAATTTGGCACACGTATGTCACATGCTTGCTTTTCCGGTGAAAAATGAACCTCCGATGACCGGAGGTTGCGATATAGACAAATCGTGTATTAAAGGTTGCAATTTAGTACAAAAAAATCTTTAGGTTGCAAACCTCAAATTCGCGTATAGTACAGGTTACCAATTATTATTTACCCTAGATATTATGCAAACCCAAGACAAGTTTTCCCAACCAATTTGAAGCTTCAACCCTACCCATTTTTTAACCATTAGATCCAACACTCATACACATACTCAGTGTGTGTTGATCCAACTCTTAGAAAACAAATCAAGTGACGATATTTTCACGCCAACCCCCAACAGCATCTACGTCATCCAACACACCTATCTGGATATGTTGTTCCATCCTCAAGTCATTCCGATGTTGCCCATTATAATTAAGCTTCTCAGCAGAGTATGGGAAGCAAAAACCTCCTATTTTCATAAAGCTCCGACCTTTACGCCCCGGCGCCGAGTAGATTTTTCCTCCATCAACGTCGTAATTCGCTACCATCGCGAGTTAGTCGCCATTGGGCCGTCGGTGGTTGCAATCACCAAACTACTGAACGCCGTCGTCAGGAAGAAGTTCTACTCGGGTGCCCTCTAGTTGTTCATTGAAATGATCCTTAGGAACGTCACACCATGAACACCGCCGTCCGCTGCTATTGCCTGCTGAGCTGGCCCGACTTTGGGCTCGCTGTCTTTGACAGCTTCTTCAAGCTTCAACACTCTCATCAGGGGACTCTTTTCCGACGGCCGAGGAGCTGCTGGCCAAGTCCCTAGCTCTGAAAATGTTTGAGCCCAACATGTCATGGTTTGTTGCTGTGGTCGAGGGGCTCTCCGGCATCTGAGCCACCACCTCTCTTGATTTGCTCGAATTTCTGGAGAAAACGGGTCGTCTCGAGCCTAACAGTTTTGCTTATTCTACGGTTGTCGCCCGTCTGATCAAGGATGGAATGGCCGACAATACCCTTGACGTCCAGTTTATAGTAACTAAAAAGGGGGTTTCAACAACTGCTACGCTTCCATGTTTCGAACGCTGTGCGATGCGGGCCGGTGGAGAGAAGTTAAAACCTTGATCCGAAAAATGGCGGAGCACAATATTGTCGGGGAAGAACACCAAGCGCAGCGAACAAAAATACTCTTCCAACAAATATGGCAAGCAGTACTCCAAACGAAAATAAGCCAATACAATAAATAAAAGACGAAAAAGAGAAATAACACAAAAATTGATAACGGAGTTCGACAAATATTGCCTATGTCTCTGGGCACTGCCAACAGCAACGCCAAATTTACAAAACTCACCAACAAAGTACAACCAGGGTTAAATAACCCACAAATTAGGATTTTCTTAATTAAGGATTTCCTTCTAAGAGATGAGAGAATAGAATAAGGTGCAATTGTAACCCAAAGGTAAGGACCTATTTATACTAATAAGACCCTACACATCTTTGGTATACATCCGATGTGAGACAACAAATTAATCAAAAAACTAACAATTCTCCACCTTGCCTAATTTTGCTCCCACTTCGATTCTTCAATCCAAATCAACTGCTGACTGTGCCTCCAAATGCGCTTCTCGGCGCCAACTCAAATATGCAGAATGTTAGTCAAGTCCAAACATTGTTCAAACTTCACTGCTGTCATCACTTTCGTCATCATATCTGTAGGATTTTCCGTCGTCTTGATCTTCTTCAACACAACGGTTCCATCTTCTAGAATCTCCCGCACAAAGTGATAGCTAACATCAATATCTTCATTCTTGCATGAAATACTTGATTTTTCGCTAAGTGAATAGCGCTCTGACTGTCACAATGCACTAAGACGTGTTTTTGACTAACTCCCAAGTCTTCAAGCAAACTTTGAATCCAAATAGCCTCCTTCACAGCTTCAGTAACCGTCATATACTCTGCCTCTGTTGTAGACAAAACAACTGTTGACTGTAAGGTAGACTTCCAACTGACTGGAGCTTTCGCAAAAGTGAACAAATATCCAGTCGTTGATCTTCGCTTATCCAAATCACCCGCGTAGTCAGAATCACAATATCCGACTACACATTGACCAACTTCATCTGCTCATAAACTAATCCAACGTCTACAGTATTATGAATGTACCGTAAAATCTATTTCACAGCTTGCCATGACTTTTACCAGGGTCATACATATACCTGCTAACAACATCAATTGTTTGTGAAATGTCGGGCCTTGTACACACCATCGCATAAAACTGCCAACTGCATTTGCATATGAGACTTTATCCATGTTCTCTCGTTCTTCATCACAATTTGCCGATAATTGAGCACTTAACTTAATATGAGGGGCAAGTGGTGTACTTACAGACTTCATCTCATCTTTTATGCCGAAACGCTGTAGTACCTTATTCAGATATTGCTACTGAGTCAAACAAAGCTTGTCTCTTCTTCTGTCCCTACTTATCTCCATCCCGAGTATTTTCTTAGCTACCCCAAGTCTTTCATCTCAAACTCTTGATTCAACTGAGTCTTCAAATGATCAATCTCCACTTGGCTCTTTGATGGAACCAACATGTCATCCACATACAAGAATAAGTAAATGAAAGATTCATCTTACAGCTTGCATTGATACACACAATGATCATGTCTGCTTCGTGTATACTTCTGCCCAATCATAAACTTATCAAACCGTTTGTACCACTGTCTCGGAGATTGCTTCAGTCCGTACAACGATTTATTCAACTTACAGACCCAATTCTCTTTTCCAAGAATTTTGAATCTTTCTGGCTGAGTCATGTAGATTTCTTCATCTAAATCTCCCTGTAAGAACGCCGTTTTCATGTCAAGTTGCGCTAGCTCTAAATCCAACTGTGTTGTTAAGGCCAACAAAATTCTAATGGAAGAGTGCTTAACAACTGGAGAAAACACTTCATTATAATCAACTCCTTCCTTCTGAGCGTAGCCTTTAGCCACCAATCTTGCCTTGTAACGCACATCATTCTTATGAGGAAATCCATCTTTCTTTGCAAATACCCACTTGCATCCTATCGCCCTCTTGCCTTTTGGTAGTTGCGTCACCTTCCAAGTCTGAATCTTCTGGAGAGACAACGTTTCTTCCTCCATAGCCCTTTTCCACTTTTCATTTTCTAAACTCCGAATTGCATCTTGAAAAGTGAAAGGTATGCAATTATCAACAATTGGAAGTGCATAAGCCATCATATCCGCCAATTGAGCAGGTTGTTGAATCTCTCGTCTGGGCTTTCTCAATGTAATGGGTAACTCTAATGATTCTTGAGTCTGAACTTCAACATCCGACGAATCCTTTGATATTGGTTCGTCGATCATAGATGGTTGTCTCGTCATCGCATCTATCTCCACCTGCTTCGGTGTCAATTTCATCTGTTGGGTTTGCGTCGTCTTTATCATACCCTATTCATCAAATGTAACATCCCTGCTAAACACAGTTTTGTTCGTCTTAGAACATAAAAGACGATATCCCAATTGTGATTCCTATGAAGAAAGCTTTTTTCACTCTTGGATCTAACTTTGAATCCTTCACATGATAGTACCTAGGACACCCAAAGGCATGATAGCCTTATTTGGAAGGCCGGTGGAAATTTTGAGTGGATTGGATCAGGAAGCTTGGGGTTCATTGCAGCTCGTTTTCTGTTTGAGTAAGTCGGCTTTTCTTTCGTGTTTGTTTTGGGAGAATGTGCAAAAATTTATGCTTTAAGAAGAAATTCCTTGGTGTGTCATAAATTAAAAGTGGTGTTGGTATTAGTAAAATAAAAGCAATAATGAAAGAATTTGACTAAAAATGATTTACTTTAGCATAGAAGTTGATATTTGCGTTTGGTTTTTTGTGATTGTATTAGTCGGACATATTGTTAGATTGAATATAATTTCCATCTTTTTGAGGTTATCAGGAAATATCCAAGGAAACTCAGTGTAACTAAACCAAGAGTCAACAGCTGAGCCCATCAAACTAGCAGATTTTTAAAAAATACATGGGATTCCAATGGGACATGAACAGTGGAATTTGCAGTCCCAAGAAGTCATATTGAAATGCAGCCAAAATTTCAGTGCAATCTCTCTCTCTCTCTCTCTCACTACAAAATCAAAATGCCCACAACAAGTCTGTACACATCAATTAGTCCCACTCTCATCATCCCTTCTACACTCACNAAAAAATAAAAAAAAAAAAGTAATCAAACGATTCAAACTACACAAAAGCAAACAAAAGATCACAGAAACTCAACTTCCACAGAAAATAAACGCGATCATCCCATCCATTAACAGTTAACACCCCACTTAATCTCCAAATCCAACGATATCCACAAAACCTACCGATTCCAAAAACCTCACCATTAACGCCGTCTAATTCAGAAGCCAAGGCTCACTAACTAAATGCCCCCATCAAAAGCATCCATCTTGAGGTGTACCTTCTATAAATGGAAACTGATCCACATCGCTAATCTCCTTCAAGAACCCATGATGACCACCAATGACATCATCATCGCCGTCATCAAACTCCAAGAACTGGCCGCCCGTGTTAGCGTCTCTCCAAATCTCCTCCTCCCCTTTAATCTTCTCTCTAAACCCTTCTCCCCTTTATACTCTGATGTTACAATTTTGTATTTGACATTGTTGTAAATAATTGGGTGGAATATAATTTGGTAGCAAAATAGTTGAGTAATGTTAAGCTAGCACTCACTTTGGAATATATTTGAGATTGTATTGAAACCTAAGGAATGATCTAAAAAAAATTGCAAGTATTTCAGGACTTGGACTCGAATTTTCCAGTGAAGAAGAATATTACTCATGAGTTCTGGGTCTGGCACCTCACATATATAGCTAAAACCTGCTTACAGTGAACATGGCATAGGATAAAAATTAAAAAGTATTAATCATGAGTTGTGGTAAAAAAGTATTTATTTAG